CAATGCATAATACACAACAAATGCAATTAGTACACACTAAAATACATACTGCCATAATTTTCTCCACTAATGCAATATATTTTGAAATATGCAAGAACAAAACTATCGCAATGAATTAGAAATGTTTATTCTGTGAATTCACAGTGGAGTCTATTGCAATCAATACTGTTTTTAAACAAGTCCACTGGTAAATAACATTCTGTTGCATTCTAAGATAAATAAAGGAAGTTTTGCGCTGTTCAGTTTCTTCTCAGTTTTCATTATTTCAATGTACTGTTGATTAAGCTTCATGTTAAAACAAGTTTCTCCTCAACTTTATGGGAGATTTGCCTGGCTTACAAAGCCAGGCCATTGTTCACCTGCTTCCTGTGGTGGATGACATGACATGAAGCAGCCGAAAAACAGTTTCACTTGGTCTCCATCCTGAAATTAACTGTAGGCAGACTTATACTGAATTTTAATAGGGAAAAGCAGCTTAATATATAGTATTTTATAGTAATCATTTGCTAAGAAAGTTATAAGTACATAAATTACTGCAAAAAATAGTGACATGCTTTCAGATTTTCTCTAGTTAGTTAAACATTGTGACTGTAACTCCTATTCAAGTATGGCTACATGCCTTCTGGCCCACTGAACTGCAGGCTGTTTAGGGGACAATGTTAGGAGGGAGGGAAGTTAGGGGGACATCATATGATGAGGTCTTGGGAGCTGGGTTTTTTTTTTTAACTTTCCAAAAATAACTATGGTTTATCTACTTTAATTAAAGGAAATAAGTTTGGTCCTGTCTAAGATTAATGAAAATAAGACAGCTAAAAAAAGCAGAGTGATAGATAAATAGACGTTGTTCAAAAGGTCAAAGCCACACAGGAAACCAAGGAAGTCTGATCAAATGACTAACCCAATTGCAACCACCAAAGTTTTCTGGACAAATGAGAAAGCATCAGATATTCCTGATCAGTCCGTGGGAAGGACTGCACCACGCAGAAGGGGAGCTCACACCTGAGCAGTTCGTGAGGAAACTTGCAGCCATGGGCAGACCCACAGAGAAGTTCATGACTGTATCCTGTGGGAGGGACACCACGTGGAAGCAGAGGAAGAGTGTGAGGAGCCCTCCTCACCTCTGAAGAGGAAGGAACAGTAGGAACAGCATGTGGTGAACTGACCACAACCGCCATTCCCATCCCCCTGTGCCGCTGTGAGGGAGGAGGTAAAGACACCAGGAGCAAAGCTGAGCCTGGGAAGAAGGGAGGGGTGGGGGAAAGTGTTGATTTTAAGATCTGGTTGTACCTTTCATTATTCTACTCTGATTTTACTGGTAACAAATTAAATTGTTTTGTTTTTCCCCAAGTTGAGTCTGGTTTTTCCCCACAACCGTAAGTAGTGAGTGATCCCTTCCTGTTCTTTGCCTTGATCCATAAGCCTTTTGTTATATTTTCTCCTCCTCACTCCACTGGGGGATGAGGAATGAGTGAGCGGCCACATGGTGCTCAGTTGCCCACTGAGCTTAAACCACAACAGGCTGGCTGCTATTCTCATTAGTGTAGAGAAGTCAAAACAATAAAAGAGGACCAATTCCACACACACACACATCTCTCCCCACTCCCCCCCCCTCCATAAATAAATTAAAATACATATAGACTCTTGTTTTATTGATTTAACCTTGTGCAATATTGAAAAGTTTGAAATTGCAATATTGAAAAGTAGTACAGCCACAAGTTTAAAGAAAGTCTACAGAATACACAATTAACAGACATCTACAGGCACATTTTCTCAGATAAGCTGTATAATTCATGCAACTCCATCCAAGTTCTTCTTTTTGTATGGTTAGGTCCATCACTATAAAATTCCTGCTTACAGGAGGCAAAGGATCCACGTGGTATTGATATTACCCCAGTTTCATATTAGAGTAGCCTACTTACACTTCTGTACTAAGAGGAGCATTTCAGACAGATGGACCTTGTTTTTACAAAAACGTAAAAGAGTACTATTTTTTTTTCCATTTGCTGCTTCTTACATGTAACTTACTGGAAATTATACCAAAATCATGCAAGCTAAAGAGTACCTTCATGGAAATAGGGCAAACTACCATCACAGGGGAAGCAGCTAATGGAAGTACTAATTGCTAGCCCTTTACAATAGGTTATAGACCTCAACCAAGCAAAGACACCCACATTTCTTAAAAGAAAGACATGGCAAATAGGTCCTCTAAACTGAACTTAAAATGTAAATCAACTAAAAAAAGACCTGTATTAATTACTAGAATAGCAATCATTGTACCCAAACCTCATTTACAAAGAGAAAAGGATGTATGCTGCTTTTTTAATTGGATGCAGTGCAACGTATAGTCAATACTAAGAAATATTCTGCTACTGAATATGGCTTTTGTTTTATTCAATAGCCCATTTTATCCTGTTCATCATCACAAGCCTATGAGAAAGCTGGAAGCAAGTGGTATTGCATAACCATTGCAAAATGAAACATCCAAATCTATAGAAGGCATTTCTGTTTTTATAAATTTCACATTGGAAACTGCAATCCCAAGTCTCCAGTAACCAAATTCCTCTGCCAACTTCAGCTGTGTACACTGTCAGCATCAAAGCAATTCTACAAATTGACCTATTCAGGTTTTGATTATTATACAGGCACCCACATCTACAATAAAAACTAAGTCATCATTTTAGGGCACCTTTTTAGAGAAGAAAAGGCAATCAAAACAAAACTTATTTTCCAGAGGTTTTTTTAACTTGTGTCCCTAGTCACTACTAAGTTGCAACTGTGGGGAGAGGGGGAAAAAGCAGAGCACCGTTTGTCAACAGTAAGGAAATACAAATGTATGCCAGCCTTCCCAAAAATAACTGAGGAAAATACAAGAATATTCCTTTTAAAATACTTTAATATTGTTACATTGTATGTCATAAAGACAGTGGCAAGACATAATAATAAAAAAAACCCCATTGAAAAAGTAACCAGATTCTACAATTATACCAATATTTACGGGCACACTACAGAACTATTTCCAGATCCTTAAATGTCTACTTTCAATCTAACAAAGAAATACCTCTAAATCACAAGCATCAACAAGAATTAAACAGAACTGTACACTCTGACAAGGCCCTTGGTATATCCCCTATCCTCCCAAGGGGTACTAATACAGTAGGGCAATTAGAGGAAAGCAAGTTTCGATTACTAGACTGCTCTGGTTAAACATGGATGATTTCTGCTGATTTTGTGCTGCTGAATAGCCATAATTGGGAAACAATCCCACATTTAAAAGCTTAGGATTTTTTTTTTCTTAAAAAAAGAAAAAAATTTCAACCAACTAAAAACTATTATTTAACGTATCTGTAAATTAATTTGAATAGGCATAATGTTTGTCTTCTATTTTTTGCTGCACATACAAGACTAAAAATACTAATTAAAAGGAAATGTGAAAAGGCTTAGAAGTTCAGCTGAAACAAACCTGGCAATCTGACATCTATTGCTTTTTAGTTATCTATCTGAATTTTTGTTTGCAAATTAGATGGGTTAGATACAAAATAATTTGTTTCTTTTCAAAGTTTCCTGAAACTTTACATTCTGTCAATTATTATGGCACTTGTCAGAGGCATTCTTTCAGATCAAGTTTTCAATGTCAAAAAGACAAGCACAGTTTGTCCCAAAGAACAAAAGACCCAACCAAAAAGAAATTTGTTTATCTAGCCATACATTTCCATTGAGAGTTCACATTTTATCAGATCTGTTTTCTTCGTTAGAAAACAGTTATCTGCTTGTTAAGCATGGCATTTCCTATGTTTGGGAGAAATTTAAATCAAGACATTTTGTTAACTTTGCCCTTTAAACTACACACACATATGCAGCCACTATTCTTATAGGAGGAAGGCAGGTGCAGTAATAAAACCAAAATACCTCAAGAAATTTCCCTTTCAAAAAAATGCAGTGTCCTTGACATAGGGGAAACTACTGTAACACCACTGAATAGGTCATAATTTGGGCCTTCAGACAAATCAAGGCTGGCTTCATGTGCACAGAATAAAGAATGCAACACAACTTCGCTACAGCAGCTATGTACAATATCACAGGCAGAACATAAACTAGAAGATGCCACCCTGTGTCTCAGTTTGCCTAGTCACAGCTGCTATCCTCCCAAGATTTTGCCTATGTCAAAACACAGTATGTTTGGGTACTTGCTCTGTGGAGCTTACCTGTACCTACCCAGTAATCCCAAATAAGCCTCCATTGTGCTTGCAAAAATAAGCTCAACAAAATCCCTGCACTATAAAAAGTCCAATGAATTAATTCTGAAGGTCACAGCCTAAAAGGTTTCTCCTAATCTTCAAAAAGTCTTGATATGTGTCTTGATTCATCTTAAGCCATACAAGTCAGTACCAGGCGAAAACTGAATTTTCTTCTTCATTGCACAGCTTTAAGAAATATCTGTTCAGCTCAGCCTTAGCTGTCGAACACTGGCTCTGACCCTGTTGCAGCTCTATACCCTGTGTCACTAATTAGACATGTACATCATCCCCCACTGCCATGTGAGTTTGGCTGCAAGTAACAATGGGTTTTGGAGGTTGCAACCAATCTCACATGAGTGAAGCTTTGAGTCATTAGGTCCACTGTCTTTAAACATGCCTAGTAACCAAATCAGCAAACTGTACACTGTTAGTTCTTCAAACCACACAAACCAAATGAAGCTGAGAACCTTATGCTCCTTTCCAAAGGAAAATTTGAAAGAACATCCCCTACTTCAAGTTCCCTGCAATCCTTCATAGGTTATCATACAAAAAAATTACTAACCTTTTCTAATCTGACATATAGCAAGCTCCAGCTTAAAGAACTGGTATTTCATTTTGACTTTGTGCATGGTAGAAACAGAAGCACTTCAAGCTGACATCTAATATACCTGAAGTAATATGGAGTTTCAACCACAGTCAAGCAGCAATCATCAAATGCCACGGGTTATTAATTCAACATGTTTTACAACAGAGGAAAACACTCACCTGAGGGTAAGGGTTAACTGTTGATCCTTTGACTTCACCAAGTCTCCTACTCTAAATGTTGCACAGCCCAAGAAGCTTCGCTACAAAACAAAGCAGAAAGAAAAGTGAACATCTCCATTGATTTTTGGAAGTTTTCATTGTTACTTTTTATGGTCTCACACTTCAAAATCTTTCTTTGGTACCTAGAAAAACATTACATTCCAATACATACTACTAGTGTGACATACTACCCAGTAGAAATTTTTAAATCCATCTGTAGCACGATTATCAGTAAACTGTTCAATTCTGGTTTTACAGACAGAAATCTCAGTAGGAAACAGACTGACAACTTGACAAAATAATGGGCTGTAAATTGTACAGCCACAGGCAAATTTTTGTTCAGTACAAGTATTTGCATTTTGTATCTTCATCTTTCTGTATTTCTAATTTCTAGATAACAAAAAATGCTAAAGAGTCAGTATTTTACCAAAGTTGTTCTTGCTACGTTTTTTTCTGAAGTTTAAGGCATTACCATTTATGTATTCCATATAGTAATCTATTTGTTAAGAAGGTATTTTTACACTGAGTTCAGTGCGTGTTTATTAATAGAAATGTTATATTTGTCAAGTTTATGGCAGGGTTTGTAAGTACTTGTTTCTTTTATTTCTATTGTACGATGGACCACTGCAGAAGAAGTGCAGAGAAATGTGTTAGTGAAACTAGAATGTCTAAAGCTCAATTAAGCTACACCACTGTATCTCTTCCTTTTATCAAAATCACTTTCACACATCGCCAAACAAATAGTGCAAAGAGGAAAACAAATTAATCTTTTTCTGCTTTTTGGTTATTTTTTACCATCCTCTCATATCCTACTGCACATCACTAAAATTGCCTTTAGTCAACCTGGCCAACAGTAGTATCTTTGCCCTAAGATCAACGGGAAAGAAAATAACAGCGTACAACCATCTTCTACCCATTTATCTTTCAAATATAAAGCTCACTATCACTTGCTCTGAATAAAGTACAAAGAGAAGATTATGTTGAATTTTTGCAAGAAAAAAATAAGTAGTACACAAAGTTTGTTTTATTACATTATACTAATTTTACACAACTGTTGGAATGGCAAAGTAAAATTTCAGAATAAATTATTTATGTTCTTGGATATATATACAAATTCAAGAAGAATGCAATTACTCTGAGTCAACGTAGGCTGCATGCAGAGAGAAAAGGAAAAAATAGATGATAATTTGTTGCTACTGAGAAGCGTAACTTCCTCTGGTAACAATAAAGCTCTAGACTAAGATAGGTTTTCTTGCATAAAGAAGTGCAGTTCAAATCACAATTCTCAGTTTAGGTAAGCTCCAACACTGGTCTCCAACTTGGTAAATGAAGTCATCAGTTATCGCTCATTCCTATCAATGACATAGGCTTGGATTCCCTGTGCTTTGGTTGGCACTGAAGCAGCAAGAGAAAACAGATGCAAGCTGAGAATCTAGGGAAGGCTGAGAAAATAGAGGATCTGGGAAGTGCTGAACAGAAAGTAAGGAAGAAAAAAGGCTTATAGGAAATACATAAAGAAAAATACTGCGATTGTGCAAGCAGAAATCATGGTTAGTTTTCACTGCCAAAATGAAACATGTCCAGGTGTGACACATGGTGATAAACAGCCTTGTAGTGAACACACAGATTGTTCTTTCTTTACATCACTCAACATGACAGTGTTTCTTCACTAAAACTCCATGGTGGCATGGTTAGGTCAGGTTAGTTATCTTCTTACAAGAGCATATCCTTCCTAGTACAATAAGAACTCATTCCGCAGCACAATGTAAATAGCAGCCTTTATTCTGGCAATTCATGGCATTTGAGAACTTGTGTTTGCAACCTCACCCTCTGAAAGAGGGATATGGATATTTGAAACAATACTGGCATGGGTTGGGTCACTTGGGGTTTCTTACTGGAGCACAATAAAACTATAAACTCATTTAAGAATCCTAAGTAGAAGTTCTCATACAATCAGGGCTAAGAAGCACTTACACTGTGCTCTCATACAATCTAGGAGTTTTGGCTATTGCACCCACTAACCACCTCTGAGTGCTATATCTAGTTCTCCAGGGTCGTGAAATTAAAGGTAAATAATTCTATGGGCTTAAAAATTCCACTTATTTGTTTGTTTCATAATTCTATTCTTATTTAGAATAAAATTTTCTTTGCCTGGCAATGCAACTCGGAGTTATTTGTAAAATTAAATAAAATTCTGAATGATCCCTTGACACAAATGAAAAGTTATGTTTATGTTCAAGGGATCTAATTTCAAACAACGCTCGAGAATACTTTTTCCAAACTGATTTAGATACAAATAGTCTACCCTTGGCCCCAAACTTGCAGTCCACAAATCAATCTAACTTTGCACATGTGACTTGTAGAAGCTTGAAAAGTAGGCTTTAAACAGAAGTGCTGCTGTAATGCTAATTACAGAGTAATGTTCCTCTGCAATTTTGCTAGTGGGGTACTTATGATTATAAATTTTAACATACGTGCCTTGAGTAGTTTGATGAATAGTGCCAGCTATCCAAGAGAACAGTAATGGCTATATGAAAAGTTGAAACACATCGATTATTTCACTAAGATTGAACTTCCTGCCAAGCCACATATTTTTCAAACACTAGCAAAAGTTCTGAAAACTATGCCAAGGAAGCCCTGGTGATGCTGGAAAGTCAACATCTTAGACTAAGAATTTAAAAATCTTGTTATTTTAAAAGTTTGCAGACATAGGTCTGATGTCTGCCCCAGTTGGTGTTTGGTCTTCCCTTACTTGGATCTCGAAGGACCAACATTTCCCACCCCTTTGGGGTGTCCAAATTATCTGTGAGGTTCTAGCTGCCTCAGACCTAGAAATGACATCCCAATACCTTTGCCAAAAGTACTCCAGACCTACACAGAAAAAGTCCTCCATATGTCACCAGCGTGTTTTCTTAAAGTGAACCGAATAGCAACTCCTACAGCAGAAATTTTTATACTCTGCACATGAAAACCAGAAGGCAACAGCGCTGGCTCACTGAGGCAACATGATTCCAAGCTCTCAGTTTCATCCAGATTGCTGGCATGGTAGTAGCAGGAAGTCTAGCTACTTGTGCTTGCCTCAGGATCATTTCAGTTGAAAAGGATTTTAACAAGACATGTGAATGGGATTACATCAGCCACTGAGACTATTACTCCTTCCTTGATTTTTTTATTCATTTAACTCAACTTCTCCTATTAAAAAAAAAAAAAAAAGCTTGCCAACTCATGTTTAGCAGTTAGGCAGAACACCATTTCTCTTCATTGGATGTCTGCGTCTGCTGACAAGGTGAAAAAGGTATCAATTAGTGAAAAAAAAATTGCTTACTCCAACATCTGCTCTTGGCTCCTTGTGATCAGGTAGGACACTGGTGCGGACCTGAGACAGGAAGAAAAAAAAAACCAGGCAAATCAAATATTACCTTTTTGTTGTTACTTTCCAGTATGAATGAGAAGTGCTTATGCATTTTTTCTTCATACTTTTTTACACTTTGGAGATTAATTTAAAGGAATATATATATATATATATATGCATA